TCAAAACCTCAACACTGTATCTCAAACTGTTTAAGAGTTATTGATTTTTTTTGTAAGAACACATAAATACAGACAGACCGTAAACTAGACACCACAGACCCATGTTCCTATGGTGGAATGTGTTTGTCTTGACCTCAGTAACGCTACCTATATACATGTGTCCAGAGAGTTACGGGACACCCTGTATAATCATTCCTTTAGAAAGTTATGAAAATTTACTGATCTTTACGAGACACCACCTTAGACCTGATAGATGTATTGCCACAAACAAATAGAATTGTCCAGTCAAATCCATTGCAACTGTAAGCCATTAATCTTCATGGGTCGTAAATTTGATTTTTTTCTGTGAATAATCATCATGACTTGCAGTTTGAAAAGTAAACACTGTCTATAAGTAATTTTAACCCCAAAATTTAGGATACATTTGTTGACCCGGCATGTTTAAGAGAGAATGCCAAATATAAAGATAGTTAAAGGGACTCTTACTGATACCAGGCCATTTTCTCAATAATTGTGATTTTTTTCAGTATGCCCAACCTCAGCCTGCAAACTGGATGCAAAAAATTAAGATTGTCGCTGGATTAGAGAGTTTACCTTATTGTATATAACACTGTCCTAAAACAAAATAATTCCAGCAAATTATGTAGGCTATTTTAATTTGTGGTTCTGATTTTAGGATCAAGTGTGAGGATAGGTGATATCAGCCATCTTTTCATGAACAGCCATGCTACTACTTCTCCAAGCTGCAACATGGACTTGTTTGAGACGTAAGTACAAAAACTCAACTTATATAGGTAGAATGATCTCCAACCTTTTGAAGGAAATATAGACTGCAATAGATAAAATAGAAGTAATTAAGTAGGTACAAAATGTAACATGTTTTATTATACATGTAAATTATTGAATAATCTATGCTTCCCAGCAATATTTTCACTCCCTCAATGAAATCACAGTAACATTATTACAATCATGGCACTCTTACCAATCCCTTTTCCATCATCACGGCAACATTACTACCTTTTGTCACTTTGGTAACTAAACTATACTGATACAAGTGACAACAATGCTATTATTTACTGGATATACTGGCAATGTCCTGTTATCGAAGCGATATCATCACCAATTCCCTTCCCATGATCGTGGAGATGTATATACACAACGTTTATGTACAATAACGTTTCCCCGCCTTGTGGGAGCAATATCAAAATAATTTCATTTTTTGTTGTTTGTTGTTGTTCCGGATCGGTATGACATACAATAAAAGGTTAAGTTACCTGTGTCCGTCAGTCGATCCTTATGTGCTGTGTCCTATTACAGGATATGCATTTCGGCAGAATAAATTGCCATCATCAGTCCTTATATAAGATCTTGATCTTTCCCGTTGGGTGCGTCTTGAAGTTTTGAAACACGTACACGAACTTTACACTTATATACATTACGAATAAAAGACAAATACACGGTAGGCCTACTTTTATTTTAGTTACTACGGACATGTAGACGTGCGTCGGTCCTCGACTGGGGTCAGACGTTACAAAGGACAGAGACAGGACAAAGGTCAACTCTGCAAGTAACGTCTGACCCCAGTCGAGACTTGACACACGACCGACGCGCGTCTACATGTCCGTAGTAACTAAAATAAAAGTAGGCCTACCGTGTATTTGTCTTTTATTCGTAATGTATATAAGTGTAAAGTTCGTGTACGTGTTTCAAAACTTCAAGACGCACCCAACGGGGAAGATCAAGATCTTTTATTAGGACTGATGATGGCAATTTATTCTGCCGAAATGCATATCCTGTAATAGGACACAGCACATAAGGATCGACTGGCGGACACAGGTAACTTAACCTTTTATTGTATCAAAATAATCATCTACTATGGCAAATGTAGTTAATGTGATAACAAAAAAATATATTTAACAGTTTAACACCTCACGGTAGTGTTGCTATGGCCATTTGTTAATAGCAGCAAAAATTATAAAATTTATCTATACATAAAGCCAAAAGTACCCTTGAACTTTTGAGAAAACTACAAGTCTCACCCCCATAAACCATATAGGTACTTAAAATGTTCATCATGGCGAGAAACCTTGTGCAAAACTAAATTGCCCTTTATGGTCGTAATTCCTTTCTAAAGGGAACTTTCCATATACCTAATGTTGTAAATAAATAAATCTTTATTGGTCATTAAATCACAGATGTTACAATAGACCTCATTAACGAAAATGTGCCAAAAAGGGCCATAGATTCTAGATAGTATAATATGGACTCTTCACTAAATGTAACAAAGACAACAAGAAAATATATAGTTAAAAATCATTTGAATAGATAATTCAAATGAAAAATATGAAAAATACATCATTTTGAATAGATAATGTTAAAAATACCTCAGCTGTACTTATTTGTTTAAATTACTGTATTCTATATTGTTCATTTCAGCTTAACTTAACCAATCAATAATTTTATAAATACTTATGAAGTCAAACGGGGTAAAGCCCGTGGGTAACAGCTAGTTTTATTTAGTTTGAAAGCTGGAATAAATGTTTTTAAAGGGTTTAGGCTAGAAACCCACTCATTATAAAATAACTATAAATGGTTTTGTATGTTTAATCAATGGTTTAAATTACATCTACCACTTGTTTGTTTCAGCCATTACAGAGGTGGAGGTAGGGCTGACTACGTCCACTTAAACAAAGCTGGTTTCCAGAAGGTATACTTGTATGTTAAAGACAATTTTTAAACATTTCTATATGAGTCAGTCAGGCAGGAATCACATGAGTGACTTATCCAGCTGACTAGCATTACTCGCGACCCGGCGACACACCATTTCACACGAGTGGTGACGTAAATAAACCATGTTTTGCTATCAATATAATGTGTTTTTGCATCGATGGTAAGTGACCGATGTTTTTGTTGCAACGATGTTTTAAACTATTATCACCGTTTTTCGTAACTAAATTTTCATTAGAATAATGAAATCCAGGTAACAAACCATCAATATCAATGAAACCATTATAAAAGTTTGGTTCAAAAAACATATTGTTAAGAGGATATAGGGTGTTTAAAAATTATTTTTAGAAACATTTCAGTGGTTTATAAACAGATATTTTGTTAATGCATATTGTTGGCCGTGTATCACAATTTACGTAAACGTTGTATGCAATTTAGAGCTTTGCTAATTTTCTTTCAATCAATAACACTATTAAATGGAAGCCAAACAAGATATTAAACCACAAGATAATCTTGTATTACTTTAACCATGATGATTGTTTCTATTACTTCCGTATTTGTACCAGTCTATACGAGCCAGTTTCCATTTGATCCCGTGGTCCGCTTCCTAGTCTTGCTCTAGTCACAGCCTAGTCAGCTAGATATGTCACTTGTGTGAATCGTGTGTCACACTCGCGGACCGCGTTATTCGTTATTCGTATAAATTATTATGTTTATAGTATGAGTGAATGTTGTCATGAAATAAATGTTATATGTATGTTATATGTACATGTATTATGTATGTGTTATATGTTATATGTATGTTATATGTAATTATTTCGTTACTACTGTCTTGAACAGTGTTCATGTTATTTGTTCTGTTCATGTAATTTTTTTATTTCATTAAGTTTCTTTACTTAAATGTTGTTTCTATTTAATTTAAAATTAAGTTTTTTTCTACGTACAAATGTTTTTTTAATGTATTCATAGTGAATGGAAGGGTTGTTTATAACTATTTGTCATTTTTATCTCTTTTTTGTGCATTTTTTAATTTTGTACTTAGTAGTTTTGTAATTCAAACTTGAGTAATCAGTTAAAATTTCAAAAGATGGCGAAGGATTAAGTAAGGTAGTAAAGGTTTTTTTGGAAAATAGTCATTAAAAATGTTATGTAATTATCATGATGAGTCAGTGGTTGGTAGTTCCTTGGACTACGGGCCCAAGGCAGAGATGTTGTGGGTTCGAATACTAATATCTGCTACCACGTTTTATCAGTACAGTTCACCCTTGTACTGTATTTGTTAAGTGCATTAAGTTACTAGGGTGCAAATAGATTGTAACTTAACTTGGAATAGCCAAATAGATTTAGTTTGCAGTAAATTGTCAAAAGTTGTATATTTGTTAAAAACTTTAAAATTTTACGTTCCTGTTACTTATTTATTGTCTGTTTATTATGCTTTGTTTCATTCTTTGTTAGACTATGGTATTATTTTATGGGGAAATTCTGGCAGGATAACTGATGTTTTGTTGTTGAAAAAGAAAGCTATTAGGATAGTAACAAACTCAAAGAAAAAAGCTCACTGTAAACCTCTTTTTACTGAAACTGGTTTTATGACTGTTATCTGTTTGTACATTTTTAGGTTATTGTTATTTATAAAATCAAATAAATCAAGTCTTGTTTTTAATAATGTCATCCATTCCAATAACACTAGAAGTAGTATAAATGTTCATATTGATCAAGCTAGGTTAGCTAAAACTTTAAGAAGCCATTCATGTGTAGGTGTTAGACTTTTTAACCATTCAGATACAACAAGGCCTTTAGATATAAGATGTTTGCCTTTTCCTAGTTTTAAAAAAGCCATTCACCTTTTGCTAGTCAACAGTCCTTCCTACTGTATTAAGGAGTATTATTAAAGATGTTTGAATCTGTGATACTGTTAATTGTTTTTGTAGGTAGCTGTGTTATTGTTATTCATATTTTAAAATCTGTGATATTTCATTTTATTATTTTAATAATTGTACTTGACAAGGTCGTATGCACTGTAAATTTTGTGTTCTTAGACGAATAAATCTCTTGACTCTCTTGACTCTTGTACCGGCTCACGTATTGCTTTGCTGGGGCAAATCCGCTCACAGATTCTTAGTTTATGTGGACGGGTAAACGCTAGGCTAAAGACGCCATCATCTCTTAAAAAAATTCAGTGAGTCAAAACCATTACCATAAAGAAAGTATTGTAAAAATATATTTTATGGGTTCAGTAAAAAATACAATTTCTTCTCATAATAATTTATTGAAGCTATGGTAACTTACAGTCTTACTAGCTATGGTATGAGTCAGTCTTATTCTTCTCTCCCCTTTAAGCTTTACCTGAAACAGTACATAAATGGTTTGACATTTCACGATTCTACACAATTAATGGTGAGTGACCTTCAGTTTTTATTTTAAATTTAAAAGCTATAATAAAAATGAACCAAAGTAAGTAGTTAATGTTGTACATATACATTAGGGACAAACTTGCAGAGCTGTGCAAAAAAATACTTTGAAAAGTATTTAGAATAAAAGTTTGGAAAATGTCACAGAAATGTTTACATGAATCATTCAGACATAATGTGTTTTAGTTTTTGTTGACTGATTGAAAAGGTCCAAGCTTGAATTGGTCATCGAGTTGATTAATTGGTAAAAAAATATGAAATAATTTTAGGGGAAAAATTGTAACCTAAAATGTGTAAGCAATTGATCTAATCACAAAAAATAAGAAACGGCTTGTTAATTAAACAAATTTAGTTTTTTTTAACATTTTACAATACAAAATTAAGAATTTAGAAACAGACATGTTTTCTGGCAGGAAATGTATTGAAATGTATTTTAACTTGTAACAAATCAAATATATTGTTACTAAATTTAGATAAAACACAAAAAATTGTATTTTCTTTAAAGAGCTCTGAGAACAATAAGGATAAGGTTGTTAACCTTCTAGGTATCACTCTTGATTCTAGACTGTCTTGGAACCACCAAATCAGTAATGTCTGCAAAAAACTCAGTAGGGTCATCTGCCTCTTGAGGAAATTAAAAGATTGTGTTGAAATTAGTTACCTAAAAATGTTATACTTCGCTCTATTCCAGAGTGTCATGATGACCTTCTTATCTGGGGTAATGGCAGTAATGTCTATGATGTTTTGATTTTGCAAAAGAGAGCTGTTAGAATTGTCAATAATGCACCCTATCTAGCTCACTGTAGGCCTCTTTTTGCTGATAGTAAAATAATGACTGTTTTAAATATGTACATCTTACTATGTTTGTTGCATGTTAAAAGGAAATTCAGTAGTTTAGTTTTAAATGAAAATGTTCACTCATACAACACTAGAGACTCTCACTTGATTCATGTTCCTTTTGCTAGACTAAGTAAAGTAAAAAATTCTTTTGAAATAATAGGTATAACACTTTTCAAAAAACTTAATTACACCTCTCACCATTTTAGTTATAATGTGTTTAAGACTACTTTGTACAGATGGTTAACTAGCCACCCTTTTTACAAACTAGATGAGTTTTTTAAAAGTGATATTTCAAAATTGATGTTTGAAAAGCAACCGCAATGTCCCTAACTTGTTTAATTCTTTGTGCCATTCTAGTCATATTATTTAAGTAACTTGTTTCTGATGTTAACCATTTTGATATAGTCATATTTTTATTTACCTTTGTTAATTTGTTTCAAAATCTATTTTTATCATCTTGCCATGTTAGTATTGTTTCCATGTACTCGTTCTATTTTGACTTGTATTTTGCTCATATTTTTTGCCCTATGTTTCACCATGTTCCTGCCATTAGACTAGATTTTAGATTATAACCAGGCCAGCTTGTCTTATAAAAATTATTTTTGTTACTATTTCATGTGAAATATTTAATTAAATTTTAATATTATGTAGCAAATGACGAACCCTATTGCACTGTAAAATGTTTAAAGAGTAATAAAGATTCTTATTCTTATTCTAAAGCTTAAATAGAGAACAGAATGCAGTGAAATTGAATGAAGCTTATTTTTATTTCATCACCTTTTCATTTGTATTATGAACCTTTCAGATACTGGTGGATATCACAGACATGTATATTTGCTCTCTTAACCTGGAACAAAATAACTCGGTTATCATCCCTGGTTGTAAAGTTCTGAGCATAAGTGCAAAAAATTGTAAAATTTGTCAGTATAACAACAAAAGTTTATTTCAAAAACATAAATATTTTTATTGTCTATGGTCAGTTTATCTATGAGACAAATAATCACTGCAAACAAAATTGGAATTGCATTCAGAACCACAACCGATATCTTACTTTTACAATTTAAGAAGCAGGTAATACAAGCCCATGGACTGAAATAAAAAAACCAAAACAGGTAATTGGGTTAACCGACACAGCGCCATCCAGTCTATTGTTTGTTTTGGACGGTCAGCAGAGACCTAACCTCAACTTGCGTCATTCCTAATAAATACCGGAATCCGCCAGAAATACTCGTGGGGTGGTAAACAAGGTCTTCGATACAATAAGCAGGGGCCAACATTTTTTTCTTTTTGTCCTAGGACGCTAGGCACGAGCCTGGAATTGTTTTTTCACATTACTTCAGGCCTACCTAGGGGTTGCGGCATTATCACTTAGATAAGATCCATTGGTGACTTGGCAGGGATCGAACCCGGGACCTCAGGGACTGAAGTCCCACGCTCTAACCACTACGCCAGCTCGCTCCCAACATTGGATCTAAATCTTCTGAGAAATACATATTACTAGAAGACTACCCTGATCTTTAGCATTTACGACTCAGGAAGATACAACGGGTTTTGAATATCTGCCCCAAATAATTTTGTTTCATTTTCTAATTAATTAAAGCACACAACGAATAGACAGTTTATACGACATTAGATTTTGCACAACAACCGCAGGGTAATAATTAATTGTACTTCGGGAAGTTTATAATTTTAACCATGCTTCGCAACAATGCGCTGTCATAGAAGAGACGAAGATGCTCTTTTAAAATTATCGTATAACAGTTGTCAACCTCCATTTATTATGAAACACAAGTAAACTACGCGGGGCTGCTTTAATAAATGGGCCCGGGCACAGGGGCGCAACAGAGAGAAAAATCCCCACAATATTGATGGAGAGAGGCACAGCAACTATCTCTTGGGCCCATAGCATATCACAAGCAAACTGCGGGCCAGGAACTACGGTAAAAATAGTCAAGACTTGAAGCAGTAGCGGCTGGTGAAAAGGTGATGGTAGGGGCTCTACATATTTTACCATACTAACAAAAGCATAGAATGCATTGTTTTAAGTACTAGCTAAAGTAATTTTAATTTGATTCAACTGAAGAATATCAAAATGTAATCAAAAGCATAGAATGCATTGTTTTAAGTACTCGCTAAAGTAATTTTAATTTGATTTAACTGAAGAATATCAAAATGTAATTTAAATTTATCCATGTTATTGTATTTATTGTTAGAACGGCGGCGGCCGAGAGTCCTTATGGGCTAGCCACCACTGGATTTTGTCTAGCACTTCAACCATACATTTTTGTAGGATTAATATTTGTCAGTTCATCTTGCTGAATGACATAAATCTGATTGATTAAAACACCATTATTTTGTTATTAGTTATTTGTTGGATTTATCTTCACTTTAAATTGTATAATCAACACTAGTGTGCACATTTAATGGTAAGAAAAAAATGTAAGTTTATAAGACTTGTAACGAGTTTAACATGAATTTATTATTTTGTTGGCCGCTTATGCCTGATTTAAATAAAATTAACAGCTATTTGAACACAGTAGTAAAACAATAAAAAAAAATATATTTCATCACTAGGACCTAAAGTGACTCTACCAGAGAGGAAATTGAGTGAAGGTTGAAAAGACGGTTTTCGCCCATGTGATGAACTATATTTTCTTTCTACGGTTATTTAACAAAGTGGATTTCCTTGCACTACACAAAACAGTGTGCTTTTATTAGGCAAGTAATATGGATGGCTTGTAAGGATGATACGACTATGATCATAGCTGATGCAGTGTTTCCCATTTCGTTCAACGCTTAAATTTAACCTAACCTAAAAGGTTTTGAATAGTGTTTAGACTAATTATTTATATGATTTATAGTAACTGTAGGAAAAATAGGTACTTTGGTGGCCTTTGAGTTCTGCCTCCCAGAAGGCAGCGATGTTGGCGAGGATTGAGTTGAATGCGTTGCGGCCCCTAGATGCCACATGCAGGCCTACTCTGCCAAGTAGGTGAGCGCTGCGGCGGTTATGTTAGGTTGGGTTATCATAAATATGTTTGTAGGACTTCCTCCTTTTGTTATGAATTTAACGATACCAGATGAGTAACGATACCAGAGATGCAGGCGGTGACAGGTGATGCGCACGCTCCGGTTAACGACCTGACCTTGGCCTACTTAGAGGGGATTTGGCAAGCAAAAGTATGAGTCATCTGGTATCGTTTGATTCATAACGAAACGAGGAAAGTTCTAAAAACCTATTTATGATAATCCAACCTAACATAACTAGTGCGCTGTATAAAGGTGGCCTCCGGATAATTCCAAAGTACCAAAAAATATAATGTGTAAACTGAGTGCCAAGTGCCACTTCGCACACTAGTTACACAAATAACTATTTACTCCCAACTATTTTTGCTGCAGTATGAAAAAAAAAAAATACAATTTTTGCAGCTAATTTACAATGGTTAGCAATATGCAATGGATTTACCTTGCAAACTGATTTAATACTACTGTCACGGTGGAAAAGGAGTAGCTTTACCCAAGCTTAGCGACTGGTAAATGACCACAGATAAGAAACATTTTCATTCTATGAAGCTATTCAAGAAAGACAGTAGGTACAATGGTTGTATCATCAGCAATTATATAAGGAATAGCAGTTTCTACAACCTATCACCAGAGGTTTGATAAAAGTATTTAGTAGATACACTAAGGCTAGGCGGGTTTAACTTAGACCTATTTAAGTTAACAAGTGTAATTTGATATGGACCTGACCACTTCTAAACTCCGCTATACCGGTGGCAAGTCCGGGGCCTGCATCATAAGTGGCAGGAAGAAGGAGTCGTAGGAGTAACACCTTGTAAAAAAACCTAAAGTTCACCTGGCCTGGGTGAAAGCACTCTGTCAGGGCCCCTTGCCAAACACGGCGAAGTCCTCAACGGCAGGAAAGGCGGAAAAGAATTTCCTTGGTACGGCTAGCTGGCGGAAGAAGCAAACTACTGCCTTGTGGGCTGGAGGTGGACCTCCAAAGACTATGGGAGAAAACCCAGAATAGAAACCTTGCAGGTTGGGTGTGGTTAGGAGGCAGCCCTTCCCCCAACTAGGGTGCTGTAGGCTAATAACCCGCACACCTCAAACTCCATTATTACAGAAACCAGAAGGCAAAATATCACCCGAACAGAACTTATGGAAACGACTTTGTCTATGAAAATACCAACAAGAATAGGATTTTGGAACATAGAAACAATGTGGGAAACAGGATGGATGAAACATGGGTTAGCAGATAAAATGATACAAAATAAAGAATTTAGTAGTTAGTGAGACACGCTGGCTAGGATTTGGAGAAACACAAATAGAAGATGGAGGCAGCTTTATATATTCTGGGAAAAAACTAAATGAGGTGCATGCAAGTGGAGTGGGAATGTTCTTTAACCGCAATGCAAAAAATAGCATGATGGAATGGGTAAGTGATAGGATAATTATGGCACGTTCCAAAACAAGAGTTAGAGCAGTGACTATTGTTCAATGATTATGCCCCAATGCTTGCATCCGATCAAGAGGAAAGAGACCTACAACCAGCTTGAAGCAACATTGGCAAAAGAATTAAAAAGAGAAATCACAATGATGATGGGAGACTTCAATGTAAAGATAAAATCTTTCGGCTCTAAAACTGGTGTATTATGCTTTTGTATATTCATTTATATCATACGGAATTAGTGTGTACGGAGGGACCTCAAAATCAAACCTTAATCAAATACTTCTGTTACAAAAGAAAGCTATTAGATTAATGCTAAGTTTAAATTGGATTGAAAGTGCAAAGTATCATTTTTCTAATTTGGAAATCCTAACAGTGTTTGGAATTTATATATACGAGACAATAAAATATACTAAGCAGCACCATTTACCAAAAATACAGTTAGAACTAAGTAGGCCTACCAGTAATGGATATAATACCAGAAATGCACAATATGTTATACAAAACAGACATAATTTAGAATTTTATAAAAAAAACACAGTGTATAGAGGCCTTGGATATATAAGTTTTTTACCAAAAGATATAAAAAATGAATGTAATAGTAGGAAATTTTACTTTAAACTAAAAAAATACCTAGTAGAAAAAGCAATTTACTCCTTTGAGGAATTTTACAATTTAAAATATTGTGAATAGACAATAAGTACTCACTGACTCTATTCTTTGTACTTGTACATTCATGAATAAAGGAGATTTTGATTTGATTTGATTTGATTTGAACAATGAAGTCAGAAAGAGAATGATGGGCAGGCATGGAGTTGACGTTACAAATGAAAATGGAGAGCGGTTTATAGAAACCTGTGGACATTTTGAGTTGGTAATTGGAGGTTCCCCCTCATAGATTGTGCCATAAAGTAACTTGGGTTTCCCAAGATCAATGAACAGAAAATCAACCATGAACTAATGAACAAATAGACTATTCTGCATCGACCAGTCACAGTGGGGTCTGGAGTAGACCCAAAGCAAGGGTGCCTCTTGTCGCCGATACTATTTATAATCACGCTTGATTGCACACATTCAGAAGGCAACAAATAGAATCCGAGGTATAAGGTGGGGGTTCCATGGCCGCCTAGAAGAACTGGATTTTGCAGACGACATATGTCTCCTTGCAGAAAGCTTATATGTCATTGAAATGAAGCTAAATGATCTACGTGTAGAAGCTTCAGATGTTGGGCTAAAAATGAACGGAAGGGAGACTAAGGAAATACGGATAAATAAATGCACCTAGCAACCAAGCCCTACAGCAACACAACAAAGACATTGAGAATCTAACTGAGTTTTGCTGCCTTGGTAACATGGTAGGAGGGGGTGGAGGAACGGACTTGGATATAAAAAAAAGAACCAAGAAGGCCAAGGGAGCTTTTGCCCAACTACGACCTATTATATGGGGACATCAAGATAGATTCTGCAAAAGACAAAATTAAGGCTGTTCAAATCCACTGTCATGCCTGTCTTGCTGTATGGCTGTGAGACCTGGAAGATTTAACAACACATCAGTGCAAAGCCTACAAGCATGTCAATAGGTGCCTGCGGTACATTTTGAGAATTGAAGAAATTAAGATTTTAGAGGATAACTAAACACAAACCAATCGAAAAGATTATCACCAGAAGAAGGTATAGATGGATTGGCCGTAGGTAGATGGAGAAGGTCACACAGCTGTGTAGCAAGACAGGCACTAGACTGTTTCCGCAGGGAAACAGAAAGTGGAGCAGACCAAAAACAACATGGAAGAGAACCAAAGAAAGGGACCTGGCAAGAAGAAAGATGACGTGGTTGCAGGCCAAGGCACTTGCTGAGGAGATGGATCGCGGGATTTCGGCGAGGCCCTATGTTCTATTTGGGAACTCATGGAAATAAGTCAAGTACGTCAAGTCTGCCCACTTTTTCCTTTTCTTTCATAATTCCTACACCAAGATAGGTTTTGTCTACAATGACTAGTGGTAACATTAATGCTTGTTAAGAGGGTAAGCATTTTAGCAAGTCACATGACTCATTTGGTACCAATTTCCAATTGAATTCTCACTTAATGAGCTGTAAAACGCTTTAATAACTACAGTTGTCTGGTTTAAAGTATTTTCTATCCCATTGTAACATTTTTGTAGCTGAAATAAAACACTGATTATATAGACATTGTCTTAAATTCATTTTTCCTACACACTGTGGTAATACATTGGGTATTTTTAGCATATGATGGGTTAACCGAAAAATTAGTTGACCGAAACAGCTCTTCCCCCTTTATTTCGGTTAACCGGGGTTCTACTGTACCTTATTGGTGCAAAACACTACACATGAGCAGCCTTGGGGTTAATAATAGACTCCACTTACACTTTTTGGGGAAAATGTGTAACTAACACTGAAGGAACAATAATAAAGTGATGACTGAAAATACCCATGCTAGTCATTTTTGGTTTCTAAAGAGGACTTGACAAAATATTTTTGTATTAGATATGAGTAAAGTATTAGAAAATAACAGTTGTAAATTTCTATGTAAATTTTCTTACTCCTAATTCTTCACAATTATCATATTTTACAAGAGGATGATCAATTATTTCTGTTTACATACAAGACATTTGATTGAAACAATTATCTAACCTGACCTGGTAAACTAGAGCATGAGGATGTTTTGTAGAAGCCTCCAAGGGGAAGAAGTGCAGACCGCCTTTGTTCTTGGACAAGGGTAGTGACTGAGGCATTCTGCCAGACGTCGGTCACATTCACACAGTCTCTGGCCACATGAGGAGCCGAGGGCTGCAACACAAATACACCATTGTTGTACAGTATACAGGGTGTACCATGAAGACGTTTACATTGAATTTCATGCTACTTGCCCATTAACACATTCGCTACCAATCGCCACATATTTGCGACGCTCCAGTCATTGCCACAGTTCGAGGTATACATTTTAATATTACACATAGACCGGGTATCACTTGGTTAACAGTATTGCAGACCATGGGCCAGTGATGCAGCAAAGTAAAAAAACTGTTTTGCCAACTATCATATGATCTAACTAATCATCATATCCACAGACCAAAATGCAGATGTGCGACAGACATCTACGTAGACCACTGCAGAGAATTTAAGGCCTTCAAATAGACCGTTACAAAGATATAAGCTGTTTAATAACATTGGACGCAAATATGTGACCAGTCTATGGGTAAAAATCGGGCGTAGAATATGTACGTCGCTGGTCCATATGAATGAAAAATTGAACACTATTGTGGTAGCAAACGTGTTAATGCACCAACAAATTTGAAAAACTACACAACTTATAAAGCAGGGTTTGAAAATATATTGAAAAAAATTCAGCTTCCTATAATCAGAAATAAAATGGTGGCACATTGAACATTTTACCATTTGCTTTCAATAAAAATTACTTTCCCGGGTTATTACCTGATTTGAGACTTATTTTTGATCAGCTGCTTGATTAAAGAATATTTTTTGAACCTTAACCTAACTTTCTCAAATGCAGTTTTACTAAAACTGAAGTAATGACTTTTTATGATGAACAACTTTTGAAATGTTGTAGGCTTATGTGGGTTAGACAATTTCAGGTTAAAGGAGTTGGACACATCTAGTATTCCAAAAACAACTAAGTTAATTTTTTTAAATCTGGTAGTCTGTAAAAGATTTTTTTTCTGCTTCTGTTACCAAAATCAATACGGTATTAGTCATTCCTTTAACTTTAGTTGGATTAAAACTGTACTTGAGAAGGTTGTTAGGTTAATATGTTTAAATACGACCGTTTTCTAAACCAGCCTTTTCAATTCAATCTTCAATCAATCAATCAATTCAATCGGCAAGACGAAAATCAGATGATACACTTGACAATTTATGCAGATTATTTTTTTCAACTGTGTATCTTTGTAAAAAGAAATTATAAGGAATTTATGTTAAAAAATTACACTCATCAATATAACACCCAACACAGGAATGATATTCAATATTCTGCGCATAGAACTGCTATGTATGAACAATCGCCAGGGTACATGGGTAGGAGAATTTACAATAACCTCCCAGAACAAATTAAAACTGAAGAAAATATGTTATCCTTTAAAATTAAAATCTCATCTCATCCTTTTGTGTCCTTATTCCCTAGACGATTTTATAAAAAATTAGCTTTAGGTTTTATGTATTGATAAAAAACTAAGGAATTTAGCATATGGTATTATTAGTTAGTAAAATAAAATAGTATTGACATGCCATATGTTAATATGTGAAAATCACAATCTTGTAAACTTTATATGTTGAATAAAAATTTAATTTAATTTCAGAATCTAACAGATTCACTTTACCGCATTGTTTACTTACTTTACAGTACTAGTGTGGTAAATTATCAGACCAATGGGGTGAAAGGATTGAGAGAAGAGAAGTAAAATTAAAATGCTTTGAACGTTAATTTATCGGCTGGTAACAACCAATTCAATTGTTGATATGCCGACTTGCGCTGAAACTCACGCCATCTTTTCTTAGCCTAAAAATTGAATTAATGATTTGCTAACCAACAGTTGCAGGTTTATTGAAAGATTTTGAAAATTTCAGATGGCTATAGTGAATTAGACGACATAGAAGTAAGGGCTGAAACGGTTTGTAATAGTGTTTTACCACCTAAATCAATGTAACGTCAAGCGAACTATGTACAAAACTTGTTATTCATTATCCTTCACTGATAATAATAATAATTTAAGAGATACTTTAATTTTGTTTTCCTACCCCTGTGTGGAAATGATTACAATGCCACAGCTGTAAAACAGTGTGCCAAATAACTCATTTACGCTCTAGAGCGAGAATGGATCATTCCCGCTTTCTAATCAGCTGATTTCATTGTTGGCGTTTCTACACCAACCACAGCCGTGGATCAGGTAGGGCCTACGCTAACAACCGAAGCAAATGACATAGCCTAAAAAAGCAAACTGAAACATAACTTAAATGAAATGTTGTATACAACCTAAAAGTTGATCTGTGTTTTAATTATGGTAAGTTAATTATGGTGGTAGGAAAACCTTGTGTACAAGCACCAACAGTCATTGCCGCTCTCGAAATGTATGGCCGCACGGGCCAGCTACAGTTCTTGACCGGCAATGGTGTAATTTGCACTCTTAATACACAAATAGCTATTGTTTGAATTAAAATTTTGTAAAAAACTGTTTCAATACATTCAGTAATGCTAAAAAAACAGTAATATTTGTTTACTTGTATCTAAAACAGTAAGAATGCTGCTAGCAGTACAGTCCATTTCCTGAAAAAAGTAACAGAAAGAGTCTAGGCAATTAAGTTTTACAAACATAATTAAAAAACTATCGTGTTAGAAGTTAGTTGTTAGAAGTTTTAGGTAGTGATTATCATTATTTACAAAACCGGTCATAGGTAAAGTAGTGACTCATGTAATTAGCCTTTGCGAAACTCGTAGATGTTTTCAAGGCACTCTCCAAGACTTGTGCATTAAATTTCTACTATTATCTTAGACCCTTGCTTAAACTCCTGTATATTCAGTTCATTGTAAATTTATGCAATTTTTGTCTTTTAAACATGTGTTTTGCTAAAAAATAGTATTTTCTAATCCTCCAAGTCTTGTTTAACTTTACAAGGAAAAAAAACACTCACTTTTGAATTCAGTGTGTTATCATAGTGCAAAAAAACTATTTCAACGACATACCTCTTGACTTCTATACCAATATAGGTATTTTGTCAAACACATACCACATAGAGGTTGGTGCCTGTAGCATGTCCAGTAATAAGGCACAAAGTATTCAAGGAACATAGGACAATCGGAAGTGCTGTAGCACCAGTCATGCATCTTACAGCACCTGCAATGTAAAAGAATCTATTTATTATTCGTCCACAGAAGTGCTTAAGAATTACTCTAAACCTAAATGAGAAAGATTCAGTGAAACTATATTTTCTCGGTTAAAAATCAAACGGTGTATAGCCAGTACATTATAGAATGTATAATCTGTGTCAAAAACCAGTTCTACAAACTGAGTTTACACAGGGACGTTCATAGTGTTGGGAAGTAGCGCGCTACAAGTAGCGACGCTACAGTAGTGTGCTACTTTTTTGTAGCGTTAGCTGTAGCTATGCTCTTTTAAGATTTTGTAGCTTTAGCTGTAGCTAGCTACATTTTTAAAGTAGTTGTAGCGGAATTTTAGCTACTTTTCTCGCTACATTTACATTGATTAAGATAGTGATTTTTACTTTCTTGGCTTCATACAGCTGGTCGCGGTCACAGCCGTTTCATTACCTATTACAATGTTGCGTGGACTTTGAGGCCATTATCTGAGTGTTAAACACATTTTTGGCTCTCAATTCCTTTATTTGCTACTCTATGATTACTGTCAGATAAAATATAATCGCTAGATGCAGACGACGTTTAAACGTTACCGGTGACAAGAGAAGCTATTGAATGCTTGCAAGTCATTAACAGGGAAATTAGTAAGCATTTAGTTTTGATAGTTTCAATTTGGGTTTTAATGGAAACCAACACTAAACCTTAACCCTTCAAGACGGTTTGACGAGCGTTACTCGTCACGCGTAAAAAGACACTGCTACGGTTTGACGAGTGCCGCTCGTCATGACATCACCCGATAAGTGGTGGTCTCTGACGACGATTTAGTGAACTATTTGGAACCCGGACTCTATGGAGCATGTTGTCCATTAGTTGTTCGACATTTTTCAGCTGTTATCGATCGCAGTAAGTGCGACAGAGACAGATGTATTGTTTGCAAACTTGAGTGTTGTTATGTTTGTTCGTCTCGGCGTGAACTGTTGATACGTACTGACGTTCTCAATCGTTTTTTACGGTATAATCGTAATTATATAGCATAAAGTGGTGGTGTTAAATTATATTTCAAGTTATAAAAAAGTTATCTAGGTGATTGTTGATTCTTAGTTTTTGTTTGAAAATGTAATTTATGACGTGTGTTTGGGAAAGATGCGTGCGTGTTGTTGTGCAAGGTTAGGTTTGTGCTAGGTTATTCTGACAAAAAGATATAAGTTTTAATTTTAATATTATTTTTACAAAAGTGAAATGGCAAGATCTAGTGAAATAGACCGTTGGATAGATGAAGATGAACACCTATTGTCGTCAGATGAAAGTGAGGAGGAGGAAATAGACTTCGCTCAACAGGAGGTAGGCCTAGAGGGTAACGTTGATTTTGATGATGGCGATGAGATTGAAATTGACATTGGAAACAATTTTGATGTTGATGATGAAATGGAAATTGATGATCCGGTTGTACAGGGAAATAGGAACATTGAAAATATAATTGAAAGTGTTGTACTAGGGGCTGGTGACTGCCCATTACCAAGACCTCAAGCCAAGCCCCAAATGGTTTGGGAAACTATGGAAGGCTACGAACCTAGCAGAGAACCCTTTAGGCCTAACAGGGAATCTGGGCCTAAAATACCCGCTAATAGTCCCCTAAGTATTTTTCAATTTTATTTTGATGATGATATTATGAATCTAATTGTAACAAGTACAAATCTTTATGCGGAACAGCAAAGGGCTAAGAAAGGAATGGTTTTTGCACGACGATCCAGAGACTGGGCTTGGCAGCCTGTTACAAAAAATGAGCTTTATATCTATTTTAGTATTGTCATGCTTATGGGTATTGATCAAAAACCAAGCCTTCAAACATATTACTGTAAAAATCCTCTGCTCGAAACCCCAATCTTTTCTAGTACCATGCCTTTCGAGCGTTTCCAGATGATAAGCAAATATTTACATTTCAGCGCTTCAATGCGACTATCGCAATTCCAAGGTCCAAAAAAACTTTTCAAAATATATCCCATTATTGAACATTTGAACAAGAAGTTTATGGAGTCTTATGAGTTGTCCCAAAACATTTCAATTGACGAATCACTAACTCTGTGGAAAGGTCGGCTTTCGTTTCGACAGTACTTGCCTCTGAAATCAGCACAATTTGGAATAAAATCTTTTGAAGTGTGTGAATCCTCCTCAGGGTTTACTTGGACCTTACTTGTGTATACTGGGAAGAACTCACCAATTGAATGTCCCATAGTCCCGCCTGATAGCAACAAGTCCACAACAATCGTCATAAAGCTGTTAGAACCGTTATTGAATAAAGGACACACCGTATGGATGGACAACTGGTATAACTCCCCAGACCTATCAAGCTTTTTGAAATCCAAAAAGACTGATACTTGTGGAACACTGAAACTCTCCAGAAAAAATGTTCCTGATGAAATAAAGAATGCCATGCTAGGAAAGGGGGAAATATGTGCTCTTCATAGCGAAAACGTTATGGTAATGAAGTGGAAAGACAAACGCCTTGTCACACTTATTTCTACATTTCATAATCATGAAATAGAGCAAAGAAGGAACAAGTCAGGTAAAGAACACATGAAGCCTGTTCTTGTTTATGATTATAATCAACAGATGGGGGGAGTAGACCTAAGGGATCAAATGCTCCATAATTTCCTCCTAGAAAGAAAGCGTGGAGTAAAATGGTACATAAAACTATTCAAGCGGCTGATGAATATTTCAGTTCTGAACTCATATATTATTTGGAAGTTTACAAACCCAAAATGTGACCATTTACAATTCAGACTACAGTTGATAAAGGAGCTAATCCATACTTATCAGGCAGAGGTAGCTAGACCAGTGCATGGCAGGCCAAGCATTGAACCGAAGCCCGCTAGACTCGTTGAAAGACATTTCATCGATCACATTCCACCAACAGAGAAGAAGGAAAAACCTACAAGGAGGTGTGTGGTCTGCTACAAAGCTGGGCTAAGAAAAGAAACAGCCTTCTGGTGCCCAGATTGTAAGGCAGCGCTGTGTCTTGTCAATTGCTTCAAGGACTGCCACACAAAACTCAACTTCTGAAGGTATGTTAAATAAAATTTTAATGTTAATTTTATATTTTTTGGTATTATTTTGTAGATTACTTATTCACATACAATTTTATAAATAAAATAGATTGATATGATGTATCCTACCAGAGAAAACTAAGTTTCGGTGAAGTATTGTAAATAATGGGCGCGATCACGGCAAAAACTACCGTAGCAGGGTTCCGTGGGCTTTAAAAAACGCCCGCCTTGAAGGGTTAAAATAGTGAGAAAGCTGGTCTATCAACCTTTGCTTCAGCTGTTGATTGTGGTTCATCATCATAAGCCCTTCCTTGGTATGATTACGAAGGTTTTTCAAAGGTTTACTAAATTAACAAAGAGGAAATTTACCTGATGAGATCAAAGATATGCCTAGATTACATAATAATCGTAACGAAAAAATCTCCATGTACTGTTACATGAAACTTGCATTGAAATAATTTTATTTTCTCCTGCTAACAGCTCTTGTCAAGGACTATTCCTAGGCTATGCTATTGGAGTAATGAATACCAGTTAAATTAATAGAAATATATATGTTTAGTCCTTGTAAGAACAAGCCTACTATAGCCAATTTGTTACATAGCCAAGTAGGTCTACATGTTATTTTAACTTTACAATTTTCAACAAGGATAGTGAGTAGGCCTAGTATTCGCCAAGGGCGCCATATAATCTAGCTACGTCCCAGTACCTACAATTTTTTAGGTAATCCTGCTCATCCTGTCCTTTGTCTCCTTAATTCTCGGGCAATAACCCATTTCCAATCATACACTATAAAGAAAAAAAGCAACCCACAGAGGATCCAAGTTTTTAAACATGTATGCATGTATGAAATTAGTTAAGAGATTTCGATTTGATCTTCACTATGCAATGTCCTCAGACCAAAAACATTGGTATTTTAAATTTTCAACCTTAAACCATGAAAATGCCCAATTTGTGTTGCAGCTATCGCATGGAGCTTAAAAAAAAACAAATAACATTGCGTACAAGTAACAACAACAAGTAACAAGCGTTGTTGTATGTTTTAAATACTATGGAGAAAATTCCAATGTGTTTTGCTTGTTTATTTTGATCAAATTTGGTAATCTATAATACTAATGTCGTATTTACTAAATCAATAGTTACTTTTCAGGAATTTTTTAGTGAAAATAAAAATCTAATAGAAAATTGATCCGTCTGCAAGTTTTCTGCAGCAAGGGTAGGCTACCTATATTTTCAATTCAAAATCTCAACTAGCCGTGCAATGAGAGTTTTTAGTACTAGGCTAATCGATCACTCTCTAAACAACACCATGATAATATTTACAAAGGAATAATCATATAAAATTTATGAAACCAAAGTTTGGTTAATGAATCAATTCAATTTTCAACTGTACCAGGCCAGGTGTGATTTTTAAGCTCACTAGAAAATTACTATATGTAAAGTGACTTATTGTAAATTAAGAATTACCTATCTATAGTATCTGTGACTGTGGTGTCATGAAACCAGTGGTGGTTCTAGAACCTTGTACAAACCACGGGAAAAGTTGATATTTTTAAAGCCATTTGGTACGGTAACAAACTTCCATAAGTTTTTAGGACAAAAGTTATATTTAAATTTATTTTTCTAGAGTCCAATGAGGAGGGCCTTAGCCCCTGCAGCACCCAATTGGAACCGTTACTCCATGAATCCAATGTTTAATTAGTAAGGTAAGAACTTTTTTTACTTGTAGTGTCTACCCAAAATTGATTAAAGCTTGAATGAAGATATCGCTACTAATTTGACAAAGTTGACCTATCCTATCGTATATTAATGATTACCTATCAATAGCATCCATGGTATATCCTGAACCTAGAAAACCGCAGTAGCATCCATAGCCCTTGTATGACAATGGGTTGCATCCAGTGGCACAGACGACCATGTTGTAAAGATGAACTACGCTGCGCTTTGGCCTGTCAAAGTGAACACAGGTTATAGCGTTGATAATGGACACAGTAACATGAACTACACATCATAATGTTAAAATTGTGGCCAGTGAATTTGAAAAACAACAGACCCTCACACAACAAGATGTTGCAAGAACTTGTTTCTGAGATACAGCGATGTTACTTAAAAGCAGGGCCGATTGCCAGTTGCCTAAAAACTTTGAAGAGGTTCATTTTACAATCTGAGGCTTGAGTGTCGTGCCCGTGACCAGTTCCATGGTGCGGTGGGTATTGTGGTGGAGAGATCGATGGGGGGGGGGGCAGGATGAGCAAAACTTGTTTTACGGTACGTCCAGAGTGTGCGCTGATTCAGATTCAGATTTTTGGTGGCAGGAATGGCACATGCATTAAAATGGATATGTCCATAGTGGCCGCTGGTTTACGAGCCGGCGCGCAGGCACCTGCTTATTCTGGTTTCAGATTCAGATTTTGCTCGTACGCATACTATTTAGTCATATAAATTTTAGGCCTACTATTTAGCCAAATAAATTATGGTAAAAGGTAACATTATATTATTTATTAATGACTGACGTTCCAAAAGTAGGAAATGAATTCTAACTAAGAACAAATCAACTCATCCCGTCAATTTCTACCACTGTTTTTGTTTGGGTTGGTTTCTCTCACCAAGTTTACCTCAGACAATACTTGAACTTCTCCTGAGCTTTTTCTACAAAATTATAAGTTTAAGAGCTGTCACTGGCTTGGGAGATAACTTCTTAGACCGCTTGGCTATTGATTCACAACATTTCACTGATAGGTCTATAATCTATAAACTATTTGTATACCATGCAGTACGGAGTATTCAAAGCCCAAAGCAATTAATTTAAATGGCATTATTGGCGATACTAGCTAAAACATAAAAACCCTAAACAAAGATACTTTACATGTTAACTATGCTTTTTAGAGCTCATTTAACTACAGGCCTACCAAAGTCAAAAATCAAATAGGCCTAACCAAGTCAATATTTTATCTCAACTAAAAGTTATAATAAAGTTATTTATTTATTTTCCCAATGGCAAGAACTAGAAAATTGAATTATTTAAGTTATATTTATTTGTAGACTTTAAGGAAACAACAAACTTTGCAAGAGTAAAGGCTACCAAACAAGGTACCGTAATTTATAGTAAAATTTACGTTATTTAGCCTTCACATGGGTCGAAAGCACAGTTGACGCAATCTGCATGACAGCAAACTTAATTTTCCAGTTATGTTAGTAGTATAACTAGAGCTTGCCCTTTGGTTGAAACTCGACCTTAAGTATTTATTGTGCAAATTTCTCTATTTTCAACCCACGATGTAAATAAAACATGTGAATGGAATTTCTTAAATTTGTTTTGATTTTCTGTTAATATTTTGTTGTCATTTAATCTGTTGTAATCTTAGTACTGTAGGTATATATAGCCAATGGTAGTAGGCATATAGGGCTGTGCTGCATGGTTCCTAATTGAGAATAAGATGGGGGGATTTGGATTAGAAAAGAATATGCAAAGAAGAATAGAGTAAAAAGATACATGAGGAACAGGAACTGTGATGGATAACAGGAGGAAGAGGCCGAGGCCAGGAAATAGCCGGAATGAAAGAATGTAAGTAATGTACTAACTTGCGGCTGCCCTTTAGTTGGTCTGATACAGAGTCAAACTCAAGCTCTGAAGAAGCCCCCCAAGGGTCGCTACTGTAGCCTACGAAGACTTGGAACCGTGTCGAGTTGGTAACTTCATTCTCTTCTGCAACAAAGAAAATGTATTAAACCCAAAGTTGAAGTTTATGTAGCCTAGGAAAATAATATTGGGAGTGTTGTGCTATATCCTATTCAACAAATTATTATTTATTCACTTCTTCAAAACATAGGCCTAATAATAATTCTACTTAAGAGTGTAACAATTAAATAACACAAATTGAGACATATAAGCATACTTTCTGTTGTAAAAGCCATTTAGATTTCTAAGTGGACAAAAATTAAAAGCAATTAGTTCAACAAATTGAGATATCTCTTAATAATTCATTGCAAGTTAGCTCCTAACTTTATTTCAGGACTGATTTAAATTGATATTCAGATAGTAAATTTTTGAAACATGTGGATGGATTTAACATTAAATTAGGCCTGAATTTAGTTTATATTAAAAGTATTGATTCTTTACTAAAATTTAGGTAGCCTACGATAACAGAAGGCACCTTCGTACGCCATTGTTTTTCCACTAAGTACAGTAGATACATTAGAAGACAGATTAGAGTAGACGTAGCCTATGTCTTTTTACATCCGTTGGTTTGATATAAGGAACAGGAACAGTTCAGACAGGTTATAGCCTAGACTCTTCAACATTAAGTTATATCGCTCTACAAGCGACTGGTCTAGATCAGCCAAAAAGTATGGTTGTAATTGAATTTCCTAAGTTTAAGGCCTACATTTTGTCAAAATGTCTATTATTTGGGAACATTAGGCCTAATAGCTCTTAGCCTGTCTGAACAAAGCAATAATTGAGCCCTATTGTCTTAAAAATACTGCAATTGTCAAATTTCTAAAATAACAATTTTCAAACATATTCTACCAAAGAATAAAGAATCAAATACTTAGATATCCTATTATAAATTAAAACCACTATAAATGTTTTGCAGATTACATAAAAGATAATTATGTTATGCAATCAATTCATTATAGTGAATTATCTTAGTCCTATTATAGATTATGGTAAAACCATAGACTAACCAGTTTTATCTATGGTAAAACCTAAGAAAAATTACCTTGTAGTTAGTATATAACTCTCTCGTTCTAATTATCACTATCTAAGTTAGAAAAGGTCAACATCAATCCAGGTTTAAAAGAAATGTTATTTATACTACTGTATTTCATCCTAATTCTCCTCCATGACATAACCTTCCCAACAATCCCAACTAACAAATTGACAATATTGACATAACCCTAATGTTTTGTAATTTCTGTAGGAAGAAAGTGAAAGTGACAGCTGTTGAAATTTAGCTCCCAATTGACCATGACGGCTGCTTTTGTTTTTAAACTGTAAAGAGTAAATAAGGGAAATGATAAAGAGTAATGAATAAATATTGCGATTGGTTTTGAATAGTGGGAGGAAATATATAATTTATATTGTCTAATGAAAGGGAAATTACGGTTGAAATACTTGGATTTTGGAAAAAGCATCTCGTGTATGTCATTTTGATCAACCTTTGCTACATTGTTTTTGAATTTTTTAAGGTACTTATATACATATTTACTGCAACATGTATTCACTTTGAACTCAACGATGGCATTTGGGTGGTAATTTCACAAATGTTGGTAATTTTGTGGTTTGGTGTTAAAATAAGAGCCGTAACTTCTATAAATCGTAAATTTTAATTGATAAGCTTAGTAATTAGGTGGTTCAATGGGAGGTGTGGTGTACCCTAATCATTGCACAATTTCAGGGGAGAAAATTTAGAAATCTCACATCAAGTATGATTAAAGGTACGAACTAATGCGAATACAATACTTAAATACAAACAAAGGTTATACAATTAATTGAAGCAAATATTCTACTGGACATACATTTAGTGTGAGGCCGGGAAATTTTAGCTTTTTAATGGTGACCAATATAATAAGGCACAAATCACCGTTTTTTCTCTCTTCACATAGTCATGTAATGTAAATCACGTTCGAAGAAGATAACTGTACGATGTTGCCGTGATCGCGGGAGATAGATAATCACGTCGTCGAATGTGACGAACTTGACGATTTTGACGTTGCTGCGATCCTATGATCACAGAGATTATCACTATAGATATTATCCTCTATAACAGTGATTTTCCTGGTGATAGGTATCTACAGAAGGGAAATTCACTATTTTTCCTTTGAACTTAGGCAATGACACCCTGCCACCTATGAGCTGATGATACAATCTATTGGAGTCAGGAGTGAAGGCTACAAAGCCACGCATTATTTGAGGGCGACCTTTTTGAAAGGGTGGCGGTGTTGGTGGTAAAATCTTTAAAATTAATAAAGGCTACTAAAAGAGATGCGGCTTTTCTTTTATCCCCGAAAAATGTAGCCGCTAAGCCGCTTCTTGAGGACAAAAAGGTTTATTTGAAACAAAATTATGCTAATTTGGAAAGGCTTCGACGATGCCCTATACCGACGTGTAAGTGACCTTAATTGTTTAACCATAAAAAGTGCAACAAAAAATGGCATTTCTTTTTATTCTCAAAATGTGGTTTTTAGGAAAAGATACTTCGCCGCCGCTGGCGCCCACCGCTGCCGGCTTTTCTCGGCCCGTCGTTGCTTTCTCCCTGGCGCCATTTTATATGTGACCGCATGGTCCTTTCGCTACGCGCCGGTTGTGCGAATAACGTTTTGGGTTATATGGTCTTTTCAGCAGGGTGCTGATATGAAGTCGAAGTTGGCAATTTTGCAAATCATTTGTATCTTTTGCGAACTTCCCATATAGGGATGGAAATAGGGGTTTCCCATTTTTTGCGCTCAACACGAATTTTGAAATTTTCTTTCTTTACCATTTTGTATAACTTACAGAAACGAGTTTAATAATATTGAAGTGTTTTAGTATGAATAGTTACAGAACAATTTCTAGAAAAATTGTTAATTTTAATTAACACGTTTTTTGTACGGGGAATATGTAAACTGATTTAGTTTGCGCGTTATGGTTAAGGATCTATTTGGCAAACTTATTTGTTTCATACTCAGCAAACATAAGTAAACTAATTGATTTTGTTTGGAGATGTTTCAGTTTCAGTAAAACTCCAATCAGGAAAATGGAAAATTCGCTTATTAAATTATATATTAGCCTAAATTTAATTATGCTTATGTCGGCAAAATGGCAACACTGTCGCCACCCTTTGGTGATACCACAGACAAAGGACCTAATTGGTTCTATAGTCTGTGGTGATACTGACTTGCCTATTTAGCAAGACAAAAAACTATGATCAAAAGAACTTTCCCGCCAAATTCTTCTTCTTGTCGGTTGACGCCATTTTCGACACCTACACGAAGGTGATAGCCTAGTGAAAGTAATTTTATTAGTTTCAATTTCACTATTTTAATTTCACTTTTTTAGTTTCAACTGTTTTCAATTTCAAAATTTTAGTGATAAATTTGAACCAGCAACAAACAGGTCTGTATCCTCCCGCCAGAAGAAAACATATTCACGATATAAAATCCTAATCATAAACACGACGCCATCAGCCGGTCCCTACAATCGGCTTCCCTTCCTTCCCGCCGAATACACAGATTCGCCACAATAATTATCGTTCGTTGCGTTAGACTTGGCCTATACTCTAAACCTAAACCACACGAACTGTTATGGCTCTAATACATTTTTGTTTAGTTACCTTTTAGCCATTGCGAGTTTCCACACTCGGGCTACCTACATGAAGTAGCTTAGGTGATGTAGGTAGGCCTAAATGGCAACATGATAGGCTAATAAAACCTACCCAAGCATTCAAACATTACAATGTTATGTCTTTTCCCATTTGATTGTTTGGCATCTAAGTTTTGTGCAGGCAATTACCGACTTCCCTTTGCCTTTGATGGATCATGCCACAATAAGTTTAACAGGATTAGGCCTAGGCTTACATTAGGCCTATACGAAACGGCTATTAACTATACATATTGGACACATCGTGATGGAACTATTTGCCGTAAAACATGAATTAAACGGGATTGGGTTATGAATGAAAAGTTGTTCCCTACGGTAGGCTATTGTTTTTTTTTACTCAGAGCCCCATCTCCAACGCCTACATTGTTAGTTTAGAGGGAGAGGAAGACTTCATTGTTAGTTTCCATGGGTGTAACCCTAAACTATCCCAAAAACTTTCTCTTGGGCAGTCAGGTATTCTCAGGTTTTCTACCTGTGCCCCTGAATTGGGAATTTATTAGAATATTGAGATTCATGGAATAAACAGATTAAGATAATGAATAACTAACATAGCCTTTTAAGTAGGTCCATAATAATTTAATAACAATCTATAAAAAGCCAGGATTTTAGCTTTTATGATAGAAAATAAAGTGATAACCGTCCAACCTCAATCCTATTTTCTTTTAAATCTAAAAATGTACCCATGAAGGGGGGAGGTCGGATGAAAGTTAGACCTGTAAATTCGTGTGTTAAGGCTATTTTTTTTAAAGACATAGGCTACTTATACAAATGATTTTTAGTTTTAAAAAACTTTAATTGTAAAAGGATCTCGTTTTAAGGTCAGGGGGGTTCAAACCCCACTAACCCCCCCCCTTGATTGGATGTTAGTATCTTATATAATTTTTGGCTGACACACTAGGCTAGGATACATATTTTAAGGTGCCTAAAAATGAGTGTTGAATCAATTAAACTTAGCTATTCTTACAGCTTTGTTATTGAAAAATATTGGAAATTTAGCCAGGATCATTTAAGAGGTCTAAAATTATCTCAAGGATAGCAGGGTCCAGTTCCATTCAGCCTTTTAAACATATTTTGACTTTCCTCAGATTTGAACTGGCGACCTTCTGATCAAAAGGCGAACACTATATTTACTAAGCTACCCTGATATTGGGATAATTGGGTTTTACTAGGTGTATTTACATCTACTTCAATCAAAAGCTATTAAAAAGTGAATAAAGTTAAATGGTTTTTATGCAAATAGGCTAGGCATACCTATATTATTTTAAAATGGTAAATCATTCGGCAACCATAGCCTACAGTAGGTATATTCGTCATTAGTTGGCCTAAAAATACTAATGCTTTGTTTA